AAAAAAAAAAAAAAAAATTAAATAAAAATCTTTCTAAATCACATATAGGCTCCAGCGGTGCCTGTAACCCAGCTGGTACCCTGGACTCCAGTTTGGTAAGTAGAGGATTATAAAAGGGTTACAATTCTAACATGCATTTTGATATATATTACAGACTAACACATTTGGGAGCTTCCTCAAGTTAAAAGTAAATTAAAATAAGATCTGAGGGGGCGCCTGGGTGGCTCAGTGGGTTAAACATCTGACTTTGGCTCAGGTCATGATCTCACAATTCGTGAGTCCGAGCCCCACATTGGGCTCCGCCCTGTGCTGACAGCTTAGAGCTGGAGCCTGCTTCGGATTCTGTGCCTCCCTGTCTCTCTGTGCCTCCCCTGCTCATGCTCTGTCTCTCTCAAAAATAAATAAACGTTTAAAAAAATTATAAAAATAAAATAAGATCTGAAACCAAATTGCTTAAAAGGTCATTGCTCTTGTTCAGAGTGCATATGTGATCATGTTTATTTTTTTCAAAAACAGAAGAATAAGGCTTATTTTAACTTTTAATTCCAGAGCCCTAGTGTTTGATTCCTACTGTAGGTGACTCTGAGGGCATTGCCACCAGGGGCCCCTGCACATAAGCCTTAAATAGATAATTAAAATTAAGAAAAACTAAGGCTAAGTGCACAATAAATAAAGCTGTGTATGAAATAATTGCAATTTATTTGCTTTTGCTCCAATCAGATACTATGGTATTTCTCAGTGCTTTAGAAATGATCTGTCTTAGCAGCAAAGCCTGAAGATGGTGAACCTCCGGGCATCCGAGGGACAGACGGAGAGAGGTTTTGCATCCTGACAGTGAGGCAGTGACTTTTGCATATTACACAAGTACTTTCAGATAAACATAATTCTCTACTGATTCTCAGTATGTTAAATATTGAGATAATTTTCCATGTAGATGAATAGTTCCTCTGTCACAGAACCAACAGGTAATGACGACTCTAAGTAAAAGTGATTTTTAAATATTTCTTTTCCTGTTTTTTCCAGTTTTATTTTTACCACAACGGATTATGTGTAGAAAAAAAAGAAATGAATAATAAAAGAAGAGCCATGAGCAGTCGGTTGAAATCAACCCAGTACTTTTATTCCCTCTGGATACACTTCATTTACTTTTCGCAGTCAAAATATAATTCTGTGACAAACTTTGTTCAGAACATATGTTTGAAAACATGTCTTAATTCTAAGATATCAAGTGTTGGCTTGATTTTCTTTCAAAGGGATACTGCCAGTGCAAGCTTCATGTTGAAAGTCCTTCATGCAGCGTCTGCAAACCATCATATTGGAATCTGGCCAAAGAAAACCCCAGCGGATGTTCAGGTGAGGTTTTTACGCAGAATAATTTACTATATTGCCACCTCCTCTTAATTTTCTCTACTTCAGTGACTAAACCCACAAAAGAGCTATTTATTTAATAAGTTCAATTTGTCTGAAATTCTGTGTAAATATTTTGACGTTTTCCCCCTACTTTTGGCAGAATTTCTATCATTTTGAAAATCCCAGCAAGGGATTTATATCCTGTTTCCATATGTATTTTATGGATACATGGTTGATATTGCCTTGTTTTTATAACCTCTCTTTCTTGTTTGATTTTAGTTTCATTTTATGCTTAGATTGAAGCCAGGGACAGGAACTTAAAGACAGTAAACTAAAGGTGGCTAAGTGGAGTGAATATGTCCTTAACTAGAGTTTGTTCTCATGGAAGCGTGTCAGTAGTGTTCTTGACGTTAGGCTCATTAAAAAACCCCCTGATGTTGCAGCCTTTGTCTTAGAGTGGTCACATACTGGCCATTACTCCTTGTAGGTGGATCTGGTGTTTCTGCTGACCCCAGAAAGCAGTCCTGTTTTAGGCGTCAGTGGAGCAGACTGGAATTCTGCTGAAATGTGCCCAAAAGTGACCACACATGTAGTGTTGCTGCTGGGTCATGTTTCCAGAACCAAGGGCTGTCCTTCGTGCAACCTTGGTCCTAGGATGCTGTCTTTTCTTCACAGAATGCCAGTGCCACGTGGCGGGAACAGTGAGTGGAATTGGAGAGTGTGGGCAGGTAATATGGGCCGATTGTTCGTGTACCAGTGGAATAGTACAGCAGTTGACCTTGGGATTTCTTGGGGAGGGGATTAGTGCCTCTGTAATTGTACAGGGCATGCTAATCTCTCTGGATGTTTTCAGATCCCCGCCATCCTGATTCATGTTATACAGTGAGGCAGTTTTAAATCTTGAAGATTAGCAAATTGTATGACCTTATCAAATTTTGTTACCTTGTTTATTCTGCAGCAGGATGGTGACTGTCACTGCAAGTCTCATGTCAATGGCGATTCCTGTGACACGTGTGAAGATGGATATTATGCTTTGGAAAAGAGCAATTACTTTGGGTGTCAAGGTAAATACTTCCAGTGGGTCCTGAGAGAAGCCAGTGTTGATGGGCAAAGACTGTCCGGATCATCTTTCTTCTGAGTTCTTGTCTTCATGTGGTCTTTCTGATGGGATGGGACTAAAAAATTCTGTCTAGGGAATTGGGCCAAATACTCAGTTGAAACTAGTAATAAATTGCAACTGGGGCTGCTTCCACTTCACTTCTACCAGCATGGTGTCGGTTTAATTATAGAAAACACAATTGGGATGAATGGGGATTCATCTGTTAATTTCATAAATAACATCAAGACTTTGTCATTTTGAAGATATTTTTTGTATTATCAAAACAGCTCACACCAGATTTTAGAGACAATATTGTGTTAAATAATACACCTCAAAGAGTGTGGCCCCACAGGCTGCCGTTGTCTCTCGCCCACAGACTCTCATTAGCAGACGTTGTTTATAAGGGCACCGTGTTGCTGAATCACGTTTAGCTTCTGGGCTCCTGTCCCCTTCCACCAGACAGCGATGTCGGAGCTGACCTTACAAGTGGACTTACAAGTAGGCTTTTGGGGGCACCTCCCATCTCAGTTTGGGAGGTGCCTATATGTTTCTAACATCTGCTGGATATGAGATGTGGCAGGGGTAGGAAGCAGCCTGATCTTACTGATTGCCACTTCTCAGAGAAGGAGGGAGAGCTTCAAAGTGGAGATGCTTTGATGGGTCACCGCTGTTGTTTTCTGACCTTTAGGGTGTCAGTGTGACATCGGTGGAGCGATCACCCCCATGTGCAGTGGGCCTTCCGGAGGATGCCGTTGCCGAGAGCATGTCGTGGGGAAGGCGTGCCAGCGGTGAGTCTTCAGGGAGGTCTCCTCCTGTACTGATGTGGAAGACTCTTAGAGAGTCCTGTCTGTGCCGACAGTTCCTGTGAAGAGACAAGCCGTCCTAAAGAGAGAGGGCTGATGAAGCTGTCCTGTCATTTGAAATCTGGACACTTGTCAGGGAGCCCAGTTGAAGCAGGAGGTAAGGTTGCCCTAAAGACGACTACTTTGTAGGTCCCAGAGCTGCCTCACCGGACAGTTCCCACAGGTATATAAAGCCAGGTGGACGAGACTAGAGCTGGATGCTTGAGGTGGGTTCCTGTGGGCAAACCTCCTTGTAAAAGCCACAGCCTGGAGGAGCCCAGCAAATGAGCAGGCTCCTGGGCCAAGGAGATTCAGGTCCAGCTTCTCCCTTGGGACCCATGACTGAAGGCGTGGAGAGGCCAGATGTGTCGCAGTGGGGGTGGGGGGGCGTGGCGGGGAGAAGAAAACTCTCGAAGTGGGACAAAGTCCCTCATCTCATGCAGAAGCTAATTAAAATAAACTGTAGGAGCAAGGGAGCAAGTGGAGACTGAGCTCCCAGAGGGGCTATCACAAGTATGGCAGCCGTACTGTCTCTGTGTCTTGTCATATTTAACATTTTACAGATGAAAACATTTTTTAAATAACTCCAGTGTTATATTAGTTTCAGGTGTTAAATATAGTGATTCAGCAATTTTATACATTACTCTGCTCATCGTGATACGTATACTCTTCATCTCCTTCACCTACTTCACCCATCTCCCCACCCATCTCCCCTCCGGTAACCATCAGTTTATTCTCTATATTTAAGAGTCTGTTTTTTTGTCTTTCTCTTTTTTTTTGTTTATTTGTTTCATTTCTTAATTCCACATACGTGTAAAATCATGTGTTATTTGTCCTTTTCTGACTGACTTATTTTACTTAGTGTTATGTCCTCTAGATCCATCCATGTTATTGCAAATGACAATATTTCATTCTTTTTTATGGCTGAATCATATTCCAGTGTGTGTGTCTGTGTGTGTGTGTGTGTGTGTGTGTGTGTGTGTGTGTGTGTGGTGTGAGTGTGAGTGACATCTTCTTTATTCATTCATCTATTGATGGGTGGACACTGGGGTTACTTCCATAATTTTGCTATTTGTAAGTAATGCTGCAATAAACATAGGGGTGCATATGTCTTTTCAAGTTAGTGTTTTTAAGTTAGTGTTTTTGGGGTAAATAGCCAGAAGTAGAATTACTGGATTATATGGTAATTCTATTTTTAATTTTTTGAGGAGCCTCCGTACTGTTGTCCACAGTGACTGCACCAGTTTGCATTTCCACCAACAGTGCACAAGGGTTTCTTTTTCTCCATATCCTCCCCAACACTTGTTTCTTATATTTTTGATTTTAGCCATTCTGACAGGTGTGAGTGAGGTGACATCTTGTTGTGGCTTTGATTTGTATTTCCCTAATGATGAGTGATGTTGAGCATCTCTTCATGTATCTGTTTGCCATCTGTAGGTCTTCTTTGGAGAAATGTCTGTTCATGTCTTTTGCCTATTTTTAAATTGGATTATGTGTTTTTTGGCGTTCAGTTGTATAAGTTATCTATATATTTTGTATACTAGCCCTTTATCAGATATGTCATTTACAAGTATTTTCTCCCATTCAATAGATTGTATTCTAGTTATGTTGGCTGTTTCCTTTGCTGTGCAAAAGCTTTTAATTCTCATGCAGTCCCAATTGTTTATTTTTGCTTTTATTTCCCTTGCTTCAGGAGACATATCTAGAAAAATTGCTATGTCCAATGTCAGAGAAATTACAGCCTGTGCTCTCCTCAAGGATTTTCATGGTTTCAGGTCTCACGTTTAGGTCCCTAATCCATTTTGAGTTTATTTTTGTCTATGGTGTAAGTAAGTGGTCTAGTTTCATTCTTTTGCATGTGGCTGTCTAGTTTTCCCAACACCATTTGTTAGAGACCATCTTTTTCCCATTACATATTCTTGCCTCCTTTGTTGAAGATTAATTGACCATATAATTGTAGACTTGTTTCTGGCCTTTCTATTCTTTTCTATGTGTCTATTGATCGAGGTGTCTATTTTTGTGCCAGTACCATAGTGTTTTTGATTACTACAACTTTATAGTATATGTTGAAATCTGGGATTGTGATACCTCTAGCTTTGTTCTTTTTCAAGATTGCTCGAAGATTGCTTTTTCAAGATTGCTTCAAGATTGCCAAGATGGCTAATTTGGGGTCTTTTGTGGTTCCATACAAACTTTAGGATTATTTGTTTTAGTTTTGAGAAAAATGCTGTTGGTGTTTTGCTGGGGATTGCATTAAATGTGTAGATTGCTTTGGGTAGTTTGGAAGCTTTCCTTTCTCTTTTGTTTTTGGAGTAGTTTGAAAAGAATAAATATTAACTCTTCCTTAAATGTTTGGTAGACTTCACCTGTGAAGCCATGTGGTCCTGGACTTTTGTTTGTTGGGAGTATTACTGATTCAATTTCATTGTTTGTAATTGGTCTGTTCAAATTTTCTATTTTTTCCTAATTCCATTTTAAGAGTTTATATGTTTCTAAGAATTTATCCATTTCTTCTAGGTTGTCCAATTTGTTGGCATATAATTTTTTCACAATATTCTCTTAAAATCCTTTGTATTTAAGGGGTATTGGTGGTTATTTCTAGTGTTTCATTTCTGATTTTGTCTATTTGACTTGTTTCTCTCTCTCTCCCTATTTGGTCATTCTGGCTAGAGGTTTATCAATTTTGTTGGTTTTTTCAAAGAACCAGCTCTTGGTTTCTCTTGAATCTGTTCTATTGTTTTTTTAGTTACTATTTCATTTATTTCTGCTCTGATCTTTATGATTTCCTTCCTTTTGCTGGGCTTGGGTTGTTTGTGCTTCTTGTTCTAGCTTCTTTAGGTGTAATGTTTGGTTGTTTATGTGAGATTTTTCTTGTTTCCTGAGGTAGGCCTGTGTTGCCATAAACTTCCCTCTTAGAACAGCTTTTGCTGCATCCCAAAGATTTTGGACCTTTGTGTTTTCATTTTCATTTGTCTCCATGTATTTTTTGTTATTTCCTTTTTGATTCCTTGATTGACCCATTCCTTGTTTAGAAGCATGTTATTTAACCACCATGTATTTGTGTTCTTTCCAGATTTTCTCTTGTGGTTGATTGCTACTTTCATAGTGTTGTGGTCAGAAAAGATGCTTGGAATGATTTCGGTTTTTTGAATTTGTTGAGACTTGTTTTGTGGCCCAAAATGTGATCTGTTCTGGATAATGTTCCATGTGCACTTGAAAAGAACGTATATTCTGCTGTTTTAAGATAGAATGTTCTGAATATATCTGTCATATCAGTATAGAATTTTTTAAAACCATGATCCATTTATAATTTTCTGTCAGTGGTGGGAGGAAAAAGCTAATTTTTAATATTCTGGCTCTTAATCATACACTGGAAAGTCTGTGAAATGCAACTTCTAAACTGCATGTATCTTTAATACTCTGCTTTATCAACAGATTAATAAAGAAATCTTGGGGCGACTGGGTGGCTCAGTCAGTTGAGCATCTGACTTCAGCTCAGGTCATGATCTCACAGTTTGTGAGTTCGAGCCCCGCATCAGGCTCTGTGCTGACAGCTCAGAGCCTGGAGCCTGCTTCCGATTCTGTGTCTCCCTCTCTCTCTGCCCCTTCCCTGCTCATGCTCTGTCTCTCTCTGTCTCAAAAATAAATAAACATTAAAAAAAATTTTTAAAGAAATCTTCAGTGTAGTTTAGGTAAATTGTCTATATTTAGTTGGTATGGTGTTTCTCTCCTTTCCCTTGATGTTTCCAGCATTTGAATTCTAAAAGTCAGAGCAACCCAGCTGAGCTTTCTTCAGTCATTTCTAAATGGCAGTCACTGCTGGGCCACATAATAAAAGGTGTGTGAAAGAGAACACATCTGTGGATATGTTTCCCTGCAGACTAACAAAGCACATGATGAACCAGAGGAATTTTGTAAATAGGTTTGGAAACATTCTCCACCCATGTTTTATCTCTTTTCACCTTCCTGTTGATAAAGTGAGCTTTCCCCCTACTTAACCAGTATAATTTTTTTTCCCTTCCAACTATGCAAGCGGTGGGCTAATTTTCAGGTAGAAATAATGCAACTTTAATAGGAATTAAATTTCCCATCCCGAGGCAAAAATATTGATTTTTTTTTTACATCACAGCCAATACACATATATGAAATTTAGAACATGTCCTTTGATTTAGTGATAAATTGTAACTATGATAAAAGGAGAGCGAACCAGCATCAAAGATGCCATACCACCTTTTCTCTGGTTTGGTAAATCTTTTGTCCTTTTGTACTAAATTCCTCCCAAATGTTTGTTTATGATATCATCTGAACATTTTTTTGATTTTTCTTACAAGGTTAGAAAGCTTTCACATTCACTTTGTCTTCTAAATAATTTTTGTGATAATAAATGTAATATATGTTTGTTGTAAAGTTGCAATAAGTACCTAAAAGTAAAAGGCAAAGAAAATTCTTCATTCCACCACCCAGATGATAACCCCTTTGATATTTTTTGTTTATTTTTTTCTAGGCTTTTTCTTTCTTTTTTAAAACCTTTTTAATGTTTATTTTTATTTTATTTTATATTGAGAGAGAGAGAGAGAGGTAGAGTGCAAGTGGGGGAGGGGCAGAGAGAGAGGGAGACACAGAATCTGAAGCAGGCTCCAGGCTTTGAGGGGTCAGCACAGAGCCTGACATGGTGCTCAAACTCATGAACTGCAAGATCATGACCTAACCCAAAGTCAGAAGCTTAACCAACTGAGCCACCCAGGTACCCCTAGGCTTTTTCTATGAATACAAATTAGTATTGTATTTTCTTCATATAATTCGTATCAATTTCTTCACATGATATTGCAGACATTTTCCATATCATTAGTCTTCTAAAATATTGGTTATGTAATATTTCATAATTTCTTTAATTATTTCATAATTGTACATTTACATTGCTTCTAAGCTTTCACTATTATAAACATTCTTTTATGTTAATTCTTTGACAGTGTATATTTAATCATTCTTTAGAATATATTCCTGGAAGGAGAATTACTGGGTCAATGAGTATGAATTTTTTTTTTTTAATTTTTAACATTTATTTATTTTTGAGACAGAGAGAGACAGAGCATGAACGGGGGAGGGTCAGAGAGAGGGAGACACAGAATCTGAAACAGGCTCCAGGCTCTGAGCTGTCAGCACAGAGCCCGACGCGGGGCTTGAACTCACTGACCGTGAGATCATGACCTGAGCCGAAGTCGGCCGCTTAACCGACTGAGCCACCCAGGCGCCCCAATGGGTATGAATATTGTTAAGGATCTTTACATATCACTTCCAGAGAAATTGTAATCATTTGTAATTCTATTTGCAATATAGGACTGTGACTTTTTATTTTCTTTGACTAATTGATCGTTATGGGTTTAAATATACTAACTGCTATTAGTTTGTGATTGGATTGTCAAAATGTGCCATTTTGAAGAACTTCAAATAGTTTGAATATGAAATGTCACGTAAGTATTGTAATATTTTTATTTATTTATTTATTTATTTTTTTTCAACATTTTTTATTTTATTTTTGGGACAGAGAGAGACAGAGCATGAACGGGGGAGGGGCAGAGAGAGAGGGAGACACAGAATCGGAAACAGGCTCCAGGCTCCGAGCCATCAGCCCAGAGCCTGACGCGGGGCTCGAACTCACGAACCGCGAGATCGTGACCTGGCTGAAGTCGGATGCTTAACCGACTGCGCCACCCAGGCGCCCCTATTTATTTATTTTTTAATCTTTTTATTTATTTTTGACAGAGAGACAGAGACCGAGCACAAGTGGGGGAGGGCAGAGAGAGAGGGAGAGACAGAACCCGAAACAGGCTCCAGGCTCTGAGCAGTCAGCACAGAGCCCGATGCGGGGCTCAAACTCACGAACCATAAGATCATGACCTAAACTGAAGTAGGACACTTAACTGACTGAACCACCCAGGCGCCCCAGGGTTGAAATATTTTTGATCCTTCTCTATGATTGCCATTATTGGACTCTTGAAAGGAATCCATTTATAGACTTATAATTTAAGAAAAAATGAGGCATAAAAAGTCATTCTGATGATTGGAAAAACATATATGGAGAGAAAAATGTATCTAACTTGTAAACTTAACATATGAAATATTGTATGTCACATTTACTATGTATATATGGTACTTAACAACATTGGTTGGTATGTATATGTTAATATTTGTATAATGAGTGAATATGAGTATATAAATGAATGATTGAATGAATTTATAGTAAATTACCTAATTTGACTTTGCTAAGTTGTTGGCAACCGTTTAGAACATATTAAAGGATACTACTACTATGGGTTGTGCTAAATGATTTTCTCATTTTATTGCTTAGAATGATAAGTGTTGGGTGTATTTTATGTGAATGTTTACAAGAATGAAAGCAATAATTTAAAGAAAAAGCAGGGGGAGGCTCTTTCATTTGTTCTTATTGGTTGCAGTCTTTCAATTTGGTGGGAGTTCTTTTAGCAGAGCTACTGAGATTAAAGAAGATTTGGATTATCAGTGGACTTAACTTGCTGTATCCACATTTACTTTTTGTTTACAAAAGACCTGAAAACAACTACTATTTCCCGGATTTGCATCATATGAAGTATGAGATTGAAGATGGCACTGTACCTAATGGGAGAGAACTTCGGTTTGGATTTGATCCCCTGGAATTTCCTGAGTTTAGCTGGAGAGGATACGCCCAGATGACCTCAGTGCAGGTATGTAGCCTCTAAGAAATTACTTCATGGCAGGATAGTGCATATAGTTACCCACAACACTGTCAGTGAGTACCCCACAAAGGCAAACTATCCCCAAACTCACTCCAGGATTCTTTTTCTCCAGACTACAGATGGGGTTTGGGGTAAGATTGGATTTTAACTCATAAGTATATGTATCGATTTCAGAGTTTATTGTTAATTTAGTCACCAAATCAGACAAAGAAAGGATTAAGAAAAATGGTGTTTATTTCTGGAAACTTTTTACAAGAAGTTGTTTCCCAAATGACATTAGTCTATATTTTAACACAAGAGACACTTTTCTTTAAAGCCATTTGTGAAGATTAAAAATGAGTTGAATTAAATAATTTCAATGTGTGCGTTAATATTTGACTGGTTTTTGTTTTTTTTTTTTTTTTTTTGCTTTTTTAAACTCGGAATTACTATATGAATAAAAACTAAGATAAATGAGGAATTTGTTAGTGCTACTTAAATTTTCTTTCCTGTATTTCTCCTTTCCTTCATTTTCCTCTTCTGTATCCATATCTCTTGGCTTTGTGTTGGAATAATTAAGGGATTTACACATTTTCTTGCTACCTTTAGAACTTATACAATATTTATAACTAATAATTTCTGAGAATAATTTCTGAGAATTTCATTGAGAAGTTTTGTTCTCAGAACTTCTCTTTGAGGTTGGTCTCTTCAAACTGTGTTTCTCAGTGGCGAAATTCAGAACAAAAGAGGTAAACTGACGACCATGGTTACCCAATATTTGTCCTTAGTAGATCCAGAAGTAATGCCTGGTATATTTATATAAGTCACCCCTTAGAGAAACAGGGACAGGTTCACAGTTCTGTTGGAGCCACCATTGGTTCTAATGTTGCTTCTTGCCTGACTAGGGTCCCCCATCAGGTTGCTTTACACTCCCTAGGATACTAGGATCCGACACCTCACTGCTTTCTCCTTCTCCCCAATGTAGCAATTCAGTTTCTTTAGCTCCTTCCTGATCTTCATTATTAAGAAAAAAGCAATGGATTCCATTAAGTCATAATAGATTGTGAATGACTGACAGTCCAGTCAAGGTGGATACCCTCTCATAGGGGTCTACAGTTGGAAAGAATAACTAGTTAGCATAAAGGAATGAATTCCAAATGATGGATTTCTTTAAGTATTTTTAGTCAGCAGACCTCGGCAGCGTCCATCAGATCACCCCTAACTTGTTCCTTATACATTTTTGCATTTTTATTTTCCAACATGGAACTAACACTTAGAGATGGATTCTGTCAAGTTAAAAAGCCCCATTCAGTGGAGTCTTTAAGGCTTTCTATATGTGGTACCATGTCATTTGTAGATCATGAGAGTTTTACTACTTCCTTACCAATTTGGATACCTGTTCTTTCTTTCTGTTGTCTGACTGCTATGGCTAGGACTTCCAGTGCTATGTTGAATAAAAGTGGTGAGAGTGGACATCTTTGTCTTGTTCTGACCTTAGGGGAAAAAGTCTTCATTTTTCACCACTGAGTATGATGTTGGTTGTACATTTTTCATATAAGGCCTTTATTATCTGTATCTACTTTGCAGAGGATTTGTTTTTATCATGAATGGATGTTGTACTTTGTAAAATGCTTTTTCTCCATCTATTGAAATGATTTTATGGTTTTTATCTCTTCTCTTACTAATGTGACATGCCACATTGATTGTTTTGCAAATATTAAAGCACACTTTCATCCCAGGAGTAAATCCCACTTGATCGTGGTGAATGATTATTTTAATGTTTTGTTGGATTCTGTTCACTAATATTTTGTTGAGGATTTTTACATCTATGTTCATCAGACATACTGACTTGTAGTTCTCTTTTTTTGTAGTGTCTTTATATGGTTTTGGTATCAGGGTGGTACTGGCCTCATAGAATGAATTTGGAAGTTCTCCTTCCTGTTATATTTTTTGGAATAGTTTGAGAAGAATAAATATTAACTCTTCTTTAAATGTTTGGTAGAATTCACCTGTGAAGCTGTCTGGTCTCAGACTTTTGTTTTTCGGGAGGTTTTTGTTTTTTTTTTTTTTTAATTACTGATTCAATTTAACTTCTAGTAATTCATCTGTTCAAATTTTCTGTTTCTTCCTATTATGTTTTGGTAGGTTATATGTTTCTAGGAATGTATCCATTTCTTTTAAGTTGTCCAATTTGTTGGCATATAGATTTTCATAATATTGTGTTACAAGTTTTTGTATTTTTGTGGTGTTGGTTGTTATTTCTACTCTTTCATTAGTGGTTTTGTTTATTTGGGTCCTCTCTCTGTCTTTCTCTCTCTCTCTTGATAAGTCTGGTTAGAGATTTATCAATTTTGTTGATCTTTTCTAAAAACCAGCTCCTGGTTTCATTAATCTGTTTTATTTACTTTTTTTTAGTTTCTGTATCATTTATTTCTGCTCTAATCTTTTTTATTTCCTTCCTTTTTCTGTGTTTCAGTTTTGTTTTTTCTTCTTATTTTAGTGTCTTGAGGTATAAGGTTAGGTTATTTATATGAGATTTTTCTTGCTTCTTGATGTAGCCTTGTGTTTCTATAAATTTCCGTCTTAGTACAGCTTTTGCTGCATCCTAAAGATTTTGGACCTATGTTTTCATTTTTATTCATCTCCATGTAATATTTTATTTCTTCTTTGATTTCTTTTTTTTAAGTTTATTTATTTTTACAGAGAGAGAGAGAGAGAGAGAGAGAGAGAGAGAATGAGAATGAGTAGGGGAGGGGCAGAGAGAGAAAGAAAGAATCCTAAGCAGGCTGTGCATTGACAGAGTGGAGCTTGACATGGGGCTTGGTCCCATGAACCTTGAGATCATGACCTGAGCTGAAATCAAGAGTCAGATGCTCAACAGACTGAGCCACACAGGCGCCCCTCTTTTTTGATTTCTTGATTGACCCATTCGTTGTTTAGAAGCATTTTCTTTAGCCTCAATGTATTTGTGCTCTTGCAAAATTTTTCTTGTGGTTGATTTCTAGTTTCATAGGTTTGTGGTCAGAAAAGATGCATGGCATAACTTCAGTCTTTTTGAATTTTTTGAGACTTATTTTGTGGTCTAATATGTGTTCTATTCTGGAGACCATTACATGTGTACTCAAAAAGAATGTGTATTCTGCTGAATATATCTGTGTATTTGAATGTATCTGTTAAGTCCATCTGGTCCAGAGTGTCATTGAAAGCCACTATTTCCTTGTTGCTTTTCTCTTTGGATGATCTGCCCGTTGATGTAAGTGGGGTCTTAAAGTCCCCTACTATTATTGTGTTACTATTGATTATTTCCTTTAGGTTTGTTATTAACTGTTTTATTTATTTGGGTTCTTTCATGTTGGGTGCATAAATATTTACAATTATTATATATCCTCTTGTCGGATTGTCCCTTTTGTTATTGGAATGGAGTATTATTCAGCCATAAAAAATAATGAAATTTTGCCATTTGCAACAATATGGATGGAACTAGAGAGAATAATAATGTTAACTGAAATAAGTCAGAGACAGACAAATATTGTATGATTTCACTCATATGTTGAATCTAGGAAGCAAAACAAACAAGCAAAGGCAAAAAAAAAAAAAAAAAAAAAAAAAAAAAAGGAGATAGAGACAAAGCATGAAACAGACTCTTAACTGTAGAAAACAAACTGATGGTTACCAGAGGGGAGCGGGGTAGGGGATGGAGGAAATAGGTGATGAGGATTAAAGAGTACACTTGTCATGATGGAAAAAAAATAATTAAAAAAGAAAAAGCCCACATTCTTTTTGGATAGAGATTGAGATCAATTTTATATGACGTAGGCATATTTTAGTTACATCCAGATTTGGTCACTAATGTGTTTGGAGTATTTTAACCTTTGTTTGGCCAGCATCAGTTTCTTTGACCATTTAGAATTTTATGTATGTGGCCCCTGGAGTGGTCTCTCTACAGGGGTAGTTGTGCTAAATAATCCTGTCGTTTCGTTCTCTTCTGCTTTTTTATTTCTCCCAGCCTGTGGTGGTTGCCCCTGCCACTATGGCTTTCCTTAAACTAGTCCTGCTAACATTCTGTTCTGTCTGCCTGATTCCAAAAGGGTCAAAAGAAGAACTCAGTTCCTGAGGGAACAGGTCTTCACTGTAACTTTAATTGTAATTAAGTTGTATTGTATAATTAAATTTAATTGTAATTGTAATTGTGATTTTAATTTATTGTTAGGCCTTCCTATTTCCATCTGCCACAGAGTTGGTTATTTGGTGTTTTCTGAGTGAGAGTGAGTGTGTGTGTGTGTGTGTGTGTGTGTGTGTGTGTGTGTGAAAGAAACAGAGTGTGTGGGTCTGTGTACACACTACAAGCCCACTAGTGAAACTTGAATGGAGTAAAGCCACTGTTTGGCTACCATTTCTTTTAGCCAGTTCTATACTTTATGGCTTTTTGGTATTTTTCAGAATAAAGTGAGGATCATGTTGAATGTGGGGAAGTCAAGTCTTGCCTTGTTTCGCGTTATTCTGAAATATATTAACCCTGGAACTGAAGCCGTATCTGGCCACGTGACTATTTACCCATCCTGGGCTGAGGCAGGTAGGCAAATTTTCAAGCCTTTTTTTGGATTAAGAAATGATGAACTAGTGAAACAGTTTCTTCAGTTTTCACAAAGTTACCTCCTGAGAAAAGATGGAGTCTCATGCATAGTCTGATTAGGGTAGTGTCCTGTCCTTTGCTACCTTTTCAATCTCTAAACATTCTGCTTATTTAAATTTTGTTAATTTTACTATTAACTGTCTTTTGAAAAATTGGTGTAACAAACTATGTGTCTTCGCTGAACCCCATGGTCTATGATACCACCACAGGGCAAAGCTAATTTATAATTCATTCATGGTAGAGTGGGTGTCACCTCTGTGGTGACTCCCCTAAATTTTTACATTGTTTCAGGCAAACCAAATAGCCCAAGGAGAAATGGGTGAGTGTAGGAATTTTTAAGATGAATGCGGTAAAGCATGAAGCCCAAGAGAACTCCAGAAAGAAACATGCAAACCTCACTGAAGGTTGAGGCATTCTTGAGGACAGAGGAAAATCACAGTCAGAGCACAGATCTCAGCACTGTTAGAGCTGAGGCCTGGAAGTCTGTTCTGCAAGAAGTTAGCACTTCTACGATTCCTGGAAACAGATTCCAGAAAGCACTAGGAATCCCACACAGACCCAAGATGGTGCCAGTGGAAATATAATTTGAGATTGAAACACAAGAATCTTTGTTCAGCATCCATGGCGAAGTCACTGGGGGCAGTGGTGATGCTCCTGAGTTGTGTCAACCAGGTTGCGAGGCTGGATGATGATGAATAACACAAAGAACTAGTGGGCTTGCTTTATCATATACATATACTTTGGCATTGATTTTCTCACATGGTAAGTTTGTGAACTGATGAGAGTTGAAGAGGAAACAGAACTGAGAGGTTTAGTAAATTGCCTAAGTGCACCTCTGGTCTTTATAGACAAGTTGGAATCTTCAGACTCCAAATTCTTTCTAATGGACTCTGATGCCTCCTCGATGACAATTTCATCAGCACTTTGCTCTCCATTAACTCAAACAGGTGGAATACATTGTGGCTTGTTTTCCCTTCCTCTGGGACATCGTTATTAAGCCCCCATGTCTGAGTCAGGGGCCTTGGTTGTGGATTCTTGTGGTAACCTAGGCCTCCTCCCAAACACCACTGTCTATGCTGTGCCAAATTCTCCTGTTTTATCGTCTGTAATCCCTCACCTTTCCCATCCCACCCAGCAAAAGCCATGCTGGCTGTGTGCAGTCCCTCATGCCCAGAACCTAGATCTAGTGGATGTTTGTAGAAAGAATGCAAGGATTTGGAGCAAACATTTCTTCTGAAGAAAAAGTCTCAGTTGGACTCTGATGCAGCAGTTTGGTTTGTTTCTGAACCTTGTACAGAAGGTTCACTGTTTGTTTCATACAGAAGAAAACACTTTGCATCCTGAGAACAAACAAAAAATCAAAACTTTTTATTACTTCAGAATGGACACATGTTCTTCCATAGAAATTAAAAGAATAAAATAATTTAATATCTAAGGTAATGTGTTAACACTTAGGTGCAATGAAATATCCTAAGCAGTTTACATGCGTTAATATACTTAATCACTTAACAAATTTAAAAAGTAATTAACATCTTATCAATATCTTTCTAGTCTGTTTTATAAGTATGTGAATGGTGGGGCGCCTGGGTGGCGCAGTCGGTTAAGCGTCCGACTTCAGCCAGGTCACGATCTCGCGGTCCGTGAGTTCGAGCCCTGCATCAGGCTCTGGGCTGATGGCTCGGAGCCTGGAGCCTGTTTCCGATTCTGTGTCTCCCTCTCTCTCTGCCCCTCCCCCATTCATGCTCTGTCTCTCTCTGTCCCAAAAATAAATAAAAAACGTTGAAAAAAAAAATTAAAAAAAAAAAAATTTATAAGTATGTGAATGGTAAATACAATCAAGGGGCGCCAGGGTGGCTCAGTCAGTTAAGTATCTGACTTCGGCTCCAGTCGTGATCTTACAGTTCGTGAGTTTGAACTCTGCGTTGGGCTCTGTGCTGACAGCTCAGAGCCTGGAGCCTGCTTCAGATTCTGTGTCTCCCTCTCTCTTTTCCCCTCCCCTGCTTGCACTCTGTCCCTCTCTCTCTCTCTCAAAAATAATAAATGTTAAAAAATTTTAAAAATAAAATCAATAAATCTGATCAGTAAGTATGCTCAGTAACCATCTTAAACTTCTTCAGATGTAAACTGAATGTTCAAAACTGAAAATCCAAAATCATAACAGTGATTGCTATACCAGTGCCTTGGGCAATTCTTTTTATTTCTGATAGGTGCTGCTCAAAGCAAAGAAGTCCTCTTCCTGCCAAGTAAGGAGCCAGCCTTTGTCACAGTCCCCGGAAATGGTTTGGCAGACCCGTTTTCAATTGCACCAGGGACATGGCTTGCTTGTATTCAAGCAGAGGGGGTCCTCCTGGTAAGAGTCCTCCTGAGTGGAGAGTTCTGTGGGATTCTTCCCCCCTTAGAGATGGTCCAATCCACAGTGACCCACAGGGACCATTAGATATCAAAATCCACCTCCCTTTTAGACAACAGGAAACTATGGTGACATTTGCCCTCAACATAGGAGCCAACTTAAAATATCTGTTATATTCTTCAGCCAGCTTCTCTCTCTCTCTCTCTCTCTCACACACACACACACACACACACACACACACCAACAACTATAACTATAATGACTCAAAGTTATCAGAATAAATGCAAAACCTTCATATGCATTATGTCCCCACCTTTCAAAAGCTTTGGGATTTTTCATCATGAATCAGAAGGGCATCAAAAAAAAAATCAGCCTCTCTGGGAATTGTGTGGAATGAATCAGAAGAAGCTAGAGGAAAAGAAGATCCTAATATCAGTGAAGTTCTTGGTGGTGGAAAGAGAAGGGAGAACCGATGCTTCTCCAACATTCCCTGCCTTCTTCTACCTGAAACATAGGCAGCAGCCTCACCAAACGATTGCCTTGGACAAAGAACCCTGCATTACGGGAGAAGCTCTATCCTCGTGCTCTACTAGGATAGCCAGAGGAACCATGGGGAGTTAAGGGATGAAAACTGCTACCTGAGATACACCCCCCCCCCCTTTTGATGTCTGCTTTAGCTTATAGAAAGTCTTTTGAAAATAAAGTCTTCGACAAAGCTTGGTTTTAGGCGCTCAGAGCAGAAAACATCAAGCTTTTCCTTCTGGCACAGTCCTTTTGATTGGCTGTATTAGCAAATCTCAGGCAAGGTCTTTAACTCCAGGCCTGCCTCATTTGCTTTTTCCCTGTAATAGGGACAATGTTTATCCATATAGGTCCTTTCCAAATCTGGGATCTTCTGAGCATCACGTGAGGGCTTATACTCGGCATTCAATCCCTATTTTTCTTGCATCTTCTTGGTAGAAAGCTTTGTTGCTTTACCAAAGTTTTAGAGTTTTTCATAGATGTTAGAAATGAGGATGAGGAAAATCCCGTTGATGCCAGTAATGGGTACAAAGTTAGATTAATGGAAAGAAGCTCATTATGTTACTTCATAGGCACGGAAGATACTTGATGACATTTAGCTGGTGCAGTAGTAGTGTATGTGTATATATGTAGTATATATGTGTAGTGCAACACATATATATGCTTCCATATGATGATCCTATCCTCTCTACAGATATTTTACAGACCACCTACTGTCAACTTTTACTATTCTAGGATCTATGGGACCATAAAGTAATGAGGAGCTATGGTCCCAACCTAAGGAAACTTAGTAAGAGAACAATAATCACTGTTGAAATAAAGCCTGCTGGGCTAGTGAGACCCCCGTGGTAGACCACTGAGCCCCCTGGGCTGCCATGTGCCACTTTTCCTCTCCATACATTTCTCTTCTTTCCCATTCTAGACAAATTAAGGGCCCCGAAGGGAGAGAAAGCCTTATGGCTGGCGTATGAGTCTCTTCACAGTTATGGCAGACATCCCCCCTCCCCTTCGTCCTTCCCTCTGCACACAGGCAGGGATGCCAGCATTGCTCTGAAGCTGTCAAACCATCAGCATCTCAGAAACCTGGAGGTCTGCTCTTTCCTGAAGAGCTGTTTAGCTGAATTTACACTGTGGGCTTCATTTGGCACACTCCGTGGAACACGTTCTTCCTCTCATCTCCTAGGACAGGCAGTCAGCCAGTTTCAGTCCGTGATTCACCAGGATCACAAAACACCGTTTTTTATACATGCCATCGAGCGTTGCTTGGATATGGGAATAAGAAGCCGTGATACGTGATCTAGAATTCAGTGTTCTGTTGTGTAGTGATGAAAGCGACCGGTATTTCAAAGGAACATGTTATCAACTGATAGCGTGTTACTTTTGTTTAGTTTTGAATTTATAAACAATCCAGAAGAGACGGGAAAATTTCCCCTGAGACTTGCATACAAAAACATTCACCCTGAGATGCTTATCTCCCATGTTTGAAGCACCTGTGAGGAGTTGCTTTGTGTGTTTTGGTGAGTCGGGGGGCAGAACGAAGCAGCTGCTGTCGAGAGTTTAACATAGCGAGCTTCACCTGGTTGTTGTTAACTTAGCTGGTGACGGCTTGATTACTAAAGAAGGGCCACCATCAAATGCGTAATTGTCCTTTTGGTCTTAATTTACTAGGACTACCTGGTGCTGCTTCCCAGAGACTACTATGAGGCATCCTCACTGCAACTGCCAGTCACACAGCCGTGCGCCGACTCAGGACCTCCCCAAGAGAAGTTAGTATGGGCAACGGTGCGACATTGGGTCCTCTAAATCAGGAGCCTTTGGTGCAAGGATTCCAGATAGGCCTCGGCCTCACAACTGCAGCCAGATGCTTTGGATAATTATCTGATTGTGGTTTTTGTCTGAGGCTTAAAATAGAATCCAGGTTCACGGACCTTTCCGTCTTTTATTCTTCATGCAGATGAAAATTTACCATCCGATTCCTATAGTAGGCACTGGGTAGGAGTTCGTTGAAAGAATGATGAATGAATGGAATTGGATAAGAGTCCTTTGGGGATGCGTTTTGATATTGTGCTTTGTTCTCAGTTGTAACTGTTGTATTTTGTTGTTGAAGTTGCTTGCTTTACCAGCATTTGCCAGTGACCCGATTCCCCTGTGCCCTGGCTTGTGAGGCCAGACACTTCCTGCTTGATGGAGAGCCAAGACCCTTGGCAGTGAGGCAGCCTACTCCCGCACACCCGGTCATGGCGGACCTCAGTGGTAGAGAGGTGGGGCAGCCTTTTATTTACTGTCAAAGCTATTACTGTCTCCCCATCTGTGTCTGCTGAAAACCCTTGGCCACAGTTGCTTCTCAAATTCAGGGGAACCTGGAAGAATTTCTCAGAGGTGTTAATTACAGGTATCTGAGTTCTCTGATTCAGGTTGTGGCTGGGCGGTGCACCACACAGAGCATAGTAAGGTTAGTCTCTGAGCACTTTCTAGACATGGCAGGGAACATGGGCAACCACAGAATCCTCTCGTTTTTACTCCCTGGACTTATAAGGGCACGTCCTGCTCTACCTGATTCAGGGCAAGATCTTTCTAAAAGGCCTCCAGAAACTACACAGCTTACCCTAAAAGGATGCAATGCTCACAGACTGTTCAGCCCTCAGGCTAAGCAATTTGTAAGGGTTGATTTCTTTGAGCTCAAAATCTGGAAATGCTACATGCCAGGGCATCTCCCTCATGGCTTAGAGGACAGGTTACCACAGGCTTTGGCATTACTTTTCTTCTCAGAGTTTTTGAGGCCTCAAAACGATTTAAGACTATACTGATTTAAGATTTGCGTTCAAAGTAGTATATAGCAACAATAAAAACACACAATGCAATACCTCAGAATAAAGACACTGAAAAACAAACTTCCGTCGCTATATTTCCATTCCTTACTTTCTACAACATTCTCTGTTTTGTACCTTTGAGGAAAATGTTCACGATTAAATTTGTAGACTGAAAACATATATGGTATTACTTCTGAATATTTAGATATGTACCTTTTTTGTAAACTATATTGCTAACATTTCCGAGGTAGCTATTAGAGGATTTTAAGGATACTTCTTTAGTCTTCATTTCATTTTATTAGAGTTTTTATTTTGCAAAAAAGAGAAGTATGTATGCCTGTTGTAACAAGTAAAGCAATATAGGCATTCATAAAGAGAAATTAATGAAATCATTTCCACTCCATTCTACCAGTGTGCTGTATCCCTACCTACCCATGCTGAGCACACACACACAAATGCATATACATACATAAATATGCACGCACACATACGTGTGTGTGTGTGTGTGTGTGTGTTCCCCAGACAGCAGGAAGGTGCTGTTGAGAAGAGCCAGACTCCAGGAAATGATGCTGATGATTCATCTGGAGGTGTCCTTGCCTCTGATTTAGCCCAGAGCCATATAGCACTGAGGCCTTGGGCAGGGCCATATTTGCATGATGCGTAAAACTAAGCCCTGGGCTGTCCAGTTTTATTTAACAGTCTGTTTTACTATTTTATCTAAATGCTTACAGACATGTGCTAATATAGTAGTGACTAGCTTATGTGGCTGTATAAACTTGAATTAATTAAAACTAAGTAGAGCTAAACATCCAGTTTCTCCGTTGCACTAGCCACATTTCAAGTGCTCAGCAATCACATATGTCTAGTGTCCACCTTATTGGAAAACACAGAGTATGAAATATTTTTGCTATCCAGAAGGTTCTATTGGACAGTGCTGTAACAGATCATTGTGCTAAAATTCAGAGACTAATGGCATTCGAAGAGGCCTTAGAAATCATTTGATTTCCCTTCCTGTGAAGGAATCCTTTCTACATTAGCTTTTTTAAACATTCATTTAGCCTCTGTTGAATACTTAAATTGATGGAGGACTCACTTCTTCTAGAGGTAGGTAAATTTTGATCATCATTAGCCACCTGGAGCAAAATGCAGAGTAATCCCTCCTCCATTTTTAAAAAAGTTTTATTATGAAGAGTCAGATGCTCAACCAACTGAGCCACCCACGCACCCCTGCTCCCCGCCCCTGCTCCTCCATTTTGAAAACCCATGTGTAGCGTGATGATTAAGATGGTTCTGGAGTGAAACTGCCTGCCTTCGTGTCTTGGGTCATCAGTAACTAGCTGTGAAATCTCCCTAGGCCTGAATTTACTAGTATACAAAATGGGGATAAGAATAGTAGCTACCTCATGAGTACTACTAAATAAAATAATCCACGAGAGGCTCTTGTTGTGGTGCCAAACACGCAGTGATCACTCAGTAACCATTAGCCATACTGCTGTTATGTATTCTAGTCAGCACCATGGGCAGAAAGGAAGAGCAACCCACCAAGTCTAGCTCATATGAAGGGTTTTTCCTTTTCCAGGATACAGAGAGGTCTAGAAGGATTCCAAAGGCAGGAACCAAGTACATTCTGGTCTTCCAGGAATCTGAGAGAGATAGAGCTACCAGGCTGTCATAGAAGAAAGCCTTCTCTCCGTGTGTTTGCTGTTCACCTCTCCCTCTATTGAATGACCTCCTTTGCTTACTCATAGCTGTTTGTCTCACACACATACCATGAAGGTTGCTTCGGTCTCATTTCTTTGTTAACTCCTAGCTCCGGCACTTATTGCCATTTGAATATCCCCTTTTTCCCTTTATTCTTTCTGAGAAAGGGAATCTGGACAGCTCATTTTTTTTTTTATTTTTTTAAAAAAAATTTTTTTTTTTCAACGTTTATTTATTTTTGGGACAGAGAGAGACAGAGCATGAACGGGGGAGGGGCAGAGAGAGAGGGAGACACAGAATCGGAAACAGGCTCCAGGCTCCGAGCCATCAGCCCAGAGCCTGACGCGGGGCTGGAACTCACGGACCGCGAGATCGTGACCTGGCTGAAGTCGGACGCTTAACCGACTGCGCCACCCAGGCGCCCCTGGACAGCTCATTTTTTAAAGTCAGACCACACCTGTTGTACACCAGGCAAGCCTCTGTCTCTTATAAACAAATTCATTGCTATATTTTTTATATTTCAATTTGATCATCTGTTTTACAATGTGATTTTAATTGATTTATATTTATTGTGATTTCAGACATATTTGGACTTATTTTTATCATCTTAATTATTTTATTAGCTTTTTATTTGCCTTCTAAAAAATAATTTTCCTACTTCGGTTTCTTTTCTTTTCTTTTTTTTTTTTTTTGAAGTAAGTTCTAGGCCCAACATGGGGCCGGAACTCAATGCTGAGATCAAGAGTTGCATGCTCTACTGACTGAGCCAGCCAGGCACCCCCTACTTCTGTTTGATTAAGACAGTTTTCTCTATTTTTCTGCTTGTTTGATAAGTACAGATTGTTTTCTGGTATTTTAGTGGTTACCCTTAATATTTTAACATAAGTTCTTGAAGCATATATTTTCCAACCAAGTCTAAAGTTATTCACTAATTCTGATCTCTTATTTTACATGACACAGACTTTAGAATGATTATTTACCCATTGAAAACCAACCTCCAAGTTATTGTTGCTGTACAGAAATTTTATTTTTACCCTCTTCCCCAGACTTTCAGGTAGATTGTAAGTTTCATCTCAATTCAAATATACCACATACCATCCCTCCCTCTCTCCTCCCTTCCTTCCTTTTTTTTTTTTTTTTCCCCTTTTCCATTTCTTCTTGGAATTTTCTCTCCTGGAATCTTCCATCTGTCTTCTTTGCTCTTGATGTAGTCTCTGGATCTAGGGCACAGCCATTTCCTGAAATATTTCATTGCCACATCCCACCATCCTAAATATTCTCTTTTTTATCTAAATTGTATTGGGTTTTTTGTTTTTGTTTTTGTTTTTGTTTTTTTTACTATTGGAACTCCCTTTTTTTTCTTCTTCTTCTTCTTCCGCATTTTGGTAGATTACATCCTCCAATGGCTTCCTTCCTGAGAAAGGCCACACAGATACAGAGGAAGTCCTTTTATTTTTATTTATTTATTTATTGTTTCCCTTTGAGACCTTGCATATCTGAAACTATCATACACTCAATCTTGATTTTTTAGTTTGGTTAGATATATAATTTTATTTTTATTGGTTTTTTTTTTAAAGACACTCTTAGGCAGGCTCTATGCTTAACTCTGTGGAGCCCAATGCAGTGCTCGATCTCATGACCATGAGATCATGACCAGAGCTGAAATCAAGAGTCAGACACTTATCTGACTGAGCCCCCCAGGCACTCTAAGTATAGAATTTTGTATTAGAAATCATTTATGTTTAGAATTTGATGACATTTCCTCACTGGCTTCTACCTTCAAGTCCTGCTCTTGAGAAGTTACATTGTGATTCCCAGTGCTTTGACTGCAGCTTGCTTTTCCCTGCTTAAAGCTTTTGAGATAATTTCTTTATTTCTCGTGTTCTGAAATTTCACAAAGATGTGCCTTGATATAGGTAATGTTTCCACTAGTGTGCCAGGCTCTCAGTCTTTTAGCCTGGAAACTTCTATCCATCGTTCAGGGAAACTTCCTTGAGTTATTTCATTGATAATTTATTTCTTTATCTTTAATCAACATTTACAATCTCTTTATCTCGTTTTATGCTTTGGGATATTTCTTTAATCTTTTCTTCCAATGCTCATCCAACTCTGCACCCACACAGACACTTAGGTGTCAGCTTTTTCTGGTCTAATTGGTTAACATCTGCTTTCCAGCTTCCAAAATCTGTTGATTTCTCTAGCCTGTTTCCTGCCCCCCTCTTTCCTATCCTCTTTTTGTTTGTGGGTTTATGATTTAAAAAAAAAAAACCCAACTCGAATTTTTGTGGAATTCTGAGAGGGAAGATCAATAAGTATAAGCATTTAATCTATTATATTTAGCCAGAAATCCTAGGATGGACTTTTATTTGTGATACTCTAAAGTTCCATTATGATATATTTAGGTGTGGATTTATTTTTATTTATCTGTTTAGTCCTCAGGCTACACTTTCAGAATGAAGATTCATATCTTTTATCCTGGGAAATTCTCAGATGTTATCACTTCAAATGTAATTTTGCTGCCATTCCTTACATTCTTCTTTTCTGGAAATCAGCCTGGATGAATGTTGGAACCTCACAGTCTATCTACAAACTACTCTTTCATATTTTTATATAGCTTTGGCTCTTTGTGCTGCTTTATGGGTGAATTCCTCAAGACTTTCTTAGAATCCACGGATGTTTCACTGTCTCCAGTTTAGATTTTATCCAGCCTGTTGGTTCAGTTTAATTTATACTGTTAATCTCAAAGATTT